ATCGTTGTCGTCGTCATTAAGACCTTTTTTCTTAGGAATATCCTCCAACTCCCAAAAAGCGGTTAACTGTTTGTCCAGGTTGACTTCATTGTAAAATGATAAGATATTGTTGTTGGATTCGATGCTTCCGCACAACCGGTTAAAATCCAACCGAACACGGTCTCTTGGGCGAGAAGCGTATTAAATACGTTTTTTTTTTTATGCCGCCTAAAATGATCTGCTGGTATATGTCTCCTCCGGGTACGAGATCCACTGGTTCATTAATGAAGAACCTCTTGTCCGCCTAGACCAAGTCTGGGAATGCTTGCCGAGTCATTGCGCTTACTTGGCAAGTCGGCAGATCTCCTGTTAATTTTGGTAAAACCAGTACAATAGCATCTATGCTTATTAATGGGTCTGTGGGCGACCGCAATTGAATGGCGCACGCTTCCTTTATCTGCGCAGATATTGAATTATTGATGCCCGAGACTTGAGCATGCAAGCGTTTTGATGGCAGGTTAATTCTGCGTTTAAGTCTTTCAGTTATAAAAGAGCATTCAGATCCCGAATCTATCAGTGCTCTGGGGGAGAAATTAACACCATTATAATATATTTTTACGCGCGCAGTTCCTAGTAGCACTCCTTTGTTTGTATTAGCAAAGCAAGAGTTCACATTTTTAACTGTTTCGGTATTTTCTTTTCCAGAGTCCCGTCTTAACTGAGCCTGCCTTGAAGTTGAGGCGCCGTCATCTGAGGGGTTCGGAGCTCCCCTACGATCTGTTGCTTTTAGCTGAATTGCTTGTTGTAGGTGGAGCAACGTATGATGCCTTGAATGGCACGCGCTACAATTGAAGGGACTGGTGCACCTTGTCACCGTATGTCCGGCTGACAAGCAATTCAAACAACGTTTATTGCTCTTGACGTACTCAATTCTGTCGGAAGGGGTTAACTTGCGGAATCTTTCGCAGTGTCGTAACTTATGCTCGCTATTTTGACACATTGTGCACAATTTTTTGGCGACACTAGCTTGAAAAGCGCCAAGTCTCTTTGGAGGTGCTTCCGGCATTTGCCGTGTGTTTTGGGGCTTAGGCGTCTTAGCTGTTTTGTTGCCCTTGAGCCCTGAAACGGTTTCTAATGTCTGAAACCGATTGGATAAGAATTTATCCATATCTTCCCATTTTGAGATCTCTGTTTTGTTCTCTATGGTTTGTTCCCACAGAGCCAGTGTGCATTCTGGCAGTTTCGTCGAGCATAAATACGTTATAATTGCATCCCAATTAGAAATGTCAATCTGATGACATTGAAGAGATACCGACAAGATTTTTTATAGATTGGTAGTTCACTAAACTTTAGTAAGCTACCTGAAATTTCAAGACTCTAGCTATATTTAAAGTACCACTTTTTGTAATTTGAAAATGGAAAAGGCCTGGCTGGGCTCATGTGTCAGACGAAGGGTTAAACTTGAAATATCTAGGCGGCCCAAAATAGTTAAATATTCATACGTTTATACACTGTTTTTTACATCTGATCGAAAAGTTGGGTGGCAAGTGATTCCTCCTGTATAATTTGCGCGGTCACTGTCACACAACCGCGTATTGATATTGTAATTTTATCTTACTTTGCACGTACATATTTGCACAAATCCATAGAGCGTTTTTTTAAACGAAAGTCTACATATACATAAATTTGTACACACAATAATCCTCTGGCTGAAAATAAATAAAGTAGTTTTGTTATAAATACGTACGTGGATACCAAACACTAATATCTTATTATTGGGATAGTGGTAATAATTTTCTGGCGTGGTGAAAGATTTATTTTGGTGTGGCTATTCGGGTGAAAAAGTTCAAATAGTTTTTGAGCATTAAATTTCGTTAGACATACACTAAATCTGCGATCAGATTTCTGTCTGTGTGTTTTCCGTGGTAATAATTCTCTAACCCAACAAATCTGCGGTCAGATTTTTATCAGTAGTACCACGAACTATACAACTTTTTACCTCAAATTTACCGGGCTTTAACATCCAAAAATGGAAACTTTCATTCGATTGGCAGATGCCATAACCGAATTTGAGAGTGACTACAACAGCACGCCATTCAAAGATCAGAATAAGCAGCACTTGCAATACAGCAAGAGGAGCTGAGAGCCATGTGGAAGAAAACAAAATCAGCCCATGAAGCCCTCATAAACACCGATTTGACAAGAGAGGATAGACTATCTGTAAAAACCAAAAATAAGAGTAGTTTTGGCTGCTATATGAAGTGCATGGCTGCAACAGCATCTGATTTAGAAAAGTTAGCGAACATTGAGAAAGAAAATGAAGATGTATCTGTTCGGGGTCACAACATTCATCTGCCTCCCTGTGACACAGATATCTTCAAAGGGGATTATCTTTCATGGCGATCATTCAGAGATATGTTTACGGCCATCTACACTCTCAATAAGCGCCTTACCCCTGTTGAGAAACTATTCCATCTCAATCAGAAAACTCAAGGTGAATCTAAAGAAATCGTGCGAAGGTGTCCTTTGACTAACGAAGGCTTTTCAACAGCCTGGAAAAATTTAAGCGACCGATACGAGAATAAACGTATTCTGGTCAATACGCAATTAAAAATTTTATTCAACTTAAACGCTGTTGAGAGCGAATGCGGTAGCTCTATTAAAAAACTGCAGCGGGACATAAATAATTGCATTTCGTCCCTTCAATGTCATCAGATTGACATTTCTAATTGGGATGCAATTATAACGTATTTATGCTCGACGAAACTGCCAGAATGCACACTAGCTCTGTGGGAATAAACCATAGAGAACAAAACAGAGATCTCAAAATGGGAAGATATGGATAGATTCTTATCCAATCGGTTTCAGACATTAAAAACCGTTTCAGGGCTCAAGGGCAACAAAACAGCTAAGGCGCCTAAGCCCCAAAACACACGGCAAATGCCGAAAGCACCTCCAAAGAGACTTGGCGCTTTTCAAGCTAGTGTCGCCAAAAAATTGTGCACAACGTGTCAAAATAGCGAGCATAAATTACGACACTGCGAAAGATTCCGCAAGTTAACCCCTTCCGACAGAATTGAGTACGTCAAGAGCCATAAACGTTGTTTGAATTGCTTGTCAGCCGGACATACGGTGACAAGGTGCACCAGTCCCTTCAATTGTAGCGCGTGCCATTCAAGGCATCATACGTTGCTCCACCTACAACAAGCAGTTCAGCCAAAAGCAACAGATCGTAGGGGAGCTCCGAACTAGACCTCTGCATGAGTCGATTCTAATTTGAAGCCAAAGAGAGTACAGTAGAATTGTGTATTCTATTTCAAGTTCAAAACACCCAGCGTTTTGAATTTTGTATTTTATGAATATTCATTGCGTTTCAAGTTTTCTAACTTCATATAGAATTATATAAATGAATGAATGAAAAACCTTAAATTTATTCAGACTCAAATTTTTACAATTTATGTGATATTTTGTGTTTAGCATCGAAAACGAAAAAAAGAATGGAAAGTGTAGAGGAAAATGTAAGTACGTTTAGCTTAAAATGATGTACGTATGTATGTATAGTGAATCTACATTTCGGTCCATTTAATAATGATAATGGTATATGTTTATAATAACAGGACTCCGCAAGCGCATTATTGCAAAGTGCCGGCATCAAGAAGAAGCTCCACAGTGGAGAATACACTCTGAGTTAAAAATAACTCTGGCGAAGAGTTGCCCGATATTGTAGCATGTAAAAGATGCTACAGCATTTACAAATTTACGGGGTGCACGTCAAATATTGTAAGACATAAATGCTATATTATAAATGCCCATAGTGTGAATAATGTTGCTCAAATAGAAGTAAGCAATGAGACGAAACAAGAGGGTATTACTCATATTACGCGATGGGCTGTCAAAAACTGTCGCTCTTTTAAGATAATTGACGATTCTGGGCTAAAAGAATTTGCAAAATTTTTAATTAACATAGGGGCAACCTACGGTTCCAATGTGAACCTTGATAAGCTTTTGCCCCACCCTACAACGATATCGCGTAATATATCAGGGCTTTATGAAACCCATTTTGAAGCAATAAAAAACGAAATTTTAGGATGCAAAATGTTTGGGTATTCAATTACCACAGATATTTGGACAGACAATTTTTTGAGGGCGTCGTATTTATCATGCACTATCCACTACGTAAAAGACGGTGTTCTTGTAAACCGTCTCTTAGCAGTGAAATCCATGGAAGGAAATGCAAGCACAGGTGAGAAATATACACAAATATTTTAAACAAACTTACAATCAGAAGGTAAACACATCTGTCACAACTCAAAGGACGTGACTGATCTGGATATTCGTTTGAAGTTTTCAGTAGCCGATCGCCATGTATTGACGCTCAGAAGCATATTCGCTTTTCACGCGAAAATCAAAAATACAATATTTTAATATGTGAAACTTTGTTGTGCTCGGTTGGTGTAAATGAAAACATCGATGAAACGAAAAGGACGCAGGGACAGGATGGCGGGGTTGGTTGGGCATGTATGACCAGGATATGATGTTGCTCATACGCCATGTATCCACAGGTTTCATCAAACTTAGGGCCGTTAACTTATCTAACAGCCCTTAACATTAGCCGAAAAGATTAGTCGCAGCGGAGTACTTCCCACTGCAATTATACAGACAATTTCTTCCTTTACAAAACGAGATTTCTTTCATCTCGAGCAGCTGAACGAAAATCGTCAGTGATATTGCAGCGACGCGGTAATTGTCAATAGTTTTGAATTGATTAAAAATATTTCCTGTAAAATTGAGAGATAGGACATTTTCTTATTTTGATTAAAATATTTTTCTGGACAGCACGGTCCCTTTTTATTCTGTGCAGATATTGGCTATACTATAATATTAAGATTGGTTAATGAAATTTACAATTTTACGTCCAAAACAAGACAAACAATTAACATTAAGATAATGGCTCTTCAATTCAATAATGTGTTGAGTCCAAGGTTATTTAAATCCTTTTTATTTCATTATTTCAAGGCTTAAATATTCGAGGGAAGATAAAAGAAATACTAGCAAATTTTGGATGTGATGTTGAAGAAGACAATCCTGTCATAGTGACAGACCGTGGGAGTAACATGATTGCAGCATTTCGAGGAGCTGAAAGCATTCATTGCATCAACCATTTACTACACAACGTTATTGAAAAAGCAGTTAAGACAGTACCTGAACTTACTGAAATGGTAACAAAATGCAGTAAGCTTGTAAAATATTTTAAAAAATCAGGAACAAATGCAAGTTTACGAATTTCTTTGAAAAGTTTTTGCCCAACCCGTTGGAACACAATATTTTATCTAGTTAAATCAATAGAGGAAAATTGGTTCGACATAGCAAATATTCTGAAAGAGAATAAAGAAACAAGCAGAATAGAAAACCTCAATGTGAACCATTTAAGTTGCGTCGCTGGACTTTTAGAGCCATTTGATTATGCTTCTAAAAAGCTTGAAGGGAGTAAATTGCCCACAATACATTTGATAATTCCATATGTAAACAAATTGAAAAAGTCCTGTTCTGCTGGTGAAAATGATATCGAATTTATAACTCAAGTAAAATCGGTTCTCCTCAATGAAATTTTGGCAACAGTTTTCCCACATTTAACAAAATACCACAAAATTGCCCATTTTTTGTTTCCGCCAACAAATAAACTACTACAATTTTCTTCGGATGAAAAACTACAAGTTATCAGAAATTGTAAGGAAATAATGACTAGCTTTATTGGAAATATGGATGGAAATATGGATGGAAATATACAAAGCAACGACATCTTGGAAGATAATGCGTTCGCAGATTTTATCGAAATCAATCATGAAGGCAGCGCCATGGCTCAAGTGGATCAGGAGATTCAAAGTTATTCTAACCTAAATGTTACGTTCACTGCTGACTTCGACTGCCTTAAATGGTGGTATCTGAACAAAAATTTTTTTCCAATTTTATACAAAACGAGCTGCAAAATTTTCTGTATACCCGCAAGTAGCGCGGCTTCTGAAAGAGCCTTTTCGGATGCAAGAAATTTAATAACCGAAAAACGTTGTACTATTGCTCTTAACCCAGACAATGTAAATAAAATAATGTTTCTGCATTCAAATATAGAAATATAAATATACTATATGTTGAAACCAATTCGATTCTTATCTAATGACTCTCTTTTATAGCGCATACAAGTACAAAATATGTATAAGAAAAGTTCAATAAATACAAGGAAATGTAGGTATTTAGATTTATAAAAATAAAAAAAATTCCATCATATTCACTCAATTTGTTTTCACATCGTTTGAATATTGTAATGTCGACAATCATATCAGCAAAGCTATTCATTTAAATTCAATAAAATTCAAACCCAATCACATTCATTTAATTTCAATATGAATGATTCATTTGCCGTTTAGAATGGATTCATGCAGCCCTCTACTCCGAACCCCTCAGATGACGGCGCCTCAACTTCAAGGCAGGCTCAGTTAAGACGGGACTCTGGAAAAGAAAATACCGAAACAGTTAAAAATGTGAACTCTTGCTTTGCTAATACAAACGAAGGAGTGCTACTAGGAACTGCGCGCGTAAAAATATATTATAATGGTGTTAATTTCTCCCCCAGAGCACTGATAGATTCGGGATCTGAATGCTCTTTTATAACTGAAAGACTTAAACGCAGAATTAACCTGCCATCAAAACGCTTGCATGCTCAAGTCTCGGGCATCAATAATTCAATATCTGCGCAGATAAAGGAAGCGTGCGCCATTCAATTGCGGTCGCCCACAGACCCATTAATAAGCATAGATGCTATTGTACTGGTTTTACCAAAATTAACAGGAGATCTGCCGACTTGCCAAGTAAGCGCAATGACTCGGCAAGCATTCCCAGACTTGGTCTAGGCGGACAAGAGGTTCTTCATTAATGAACCAGTGGATCTCGTACCCGGAGGAGACATATACCAGCAGATCATTTTAGGCGGCATAAAAAAAAAAACGTATTTAATACGCTTCTCGCCCAAGAGACCGTGTTCGGTTGGATTTTAACCGGTTGTGCGGAAGCATCGAATCCAACAACAATATCTTATCATTTTACAATGAAGTCAACCTGGACAAACAGTTAACCGCTTTTTGGGAGTTGGAGGATATTCCTAAGAAAAAAGGTCTTAATGACGACGACAACGATTGCGAAGAACAGTTCAAGACTACCACCGAGAGGAATGCAGAAGGGAAATGCATCGTGTCTTTACCCTCCAGAAAGGACTATCCGAACAACATTTCCATAGAACCATCGCTGAAAGGCGCCTGCTCTCAGTTCTACCGGAACGAGACGCGCCTAGCGAAAAACCCTGTCCTGAAAACGGAATATAATCGGGTTTTGAGGGAATATGAGACATTAGGGCATATGTCTAAAATATCTGATAACGTGCCAGCAGAGTCAACTGACTGTTATTTCTTACCTCATCACGCTGTTTTGAAGGAAGAAAGCATC